CAATAATGAAGCTCGGAATCAATCTTCCATTGACTGCCTCTCTATCCAGTTGTGACCGTGTGACTCTACAGAGGTGCATAACTAGAATAGACTATAATAAAAAAACACTAATAACACATGAATATCTGGTGCAGTTTTGTCCCCTGCACTTTTAATTTCTAACCCTGACTGTGAAACGAGCACCACAATCATAGTCCATATTACTATGCCTATCCATATGATAGATGTGTGATACGGCAAGTATATGAATACACACAATTTGTGTGTACTTGAACATATTCAACATAGTTTTTGGGGGAACTACTACTTTAACTTATTTGTTAGAGATAACTGGTAGTTTGTCTATTTTTTTTTTTATGCAGCAGCTTTACTTATTACAGTATTTCACAATGGAATGGCCAAAAATAGCAACGTCAACATTCTTCACATACCTGAGTGTATGCTTAAAACCCTCCTCATCACAATCAACTGTTATAACTAATGTTATAATATAGCTGTGCCTATTGTAAATCCACCACTGAGTTATAATATAGGCCTTTTCATTTTAACACGCACACAGAGCTACGTGGTGTGGTGTGATACTTAACAGAGCAGGACACCACAGCATGGAAAATGAGCTCTCCAGAATTCCAGGGATTAGAAAACAGGACGTATAAGCTATAGTTTTAAGGAGTGGGAAAATGGAATTCTTCTGGCTTTGAGAATCTCCAGTGTGAGCCTCAGACACTGTGGAATGTTCTCCCTAAGGAGAGTCTGTGGGTCACTGTGTGGCTCATGTGGAAGAACGGAAGCTACATACTATTATTGCAGCAACACTGCACTGTATTGCATGGGGTTACAATGATATTGTTTTCATTTATTTAGCATTTTATGAGGCCTATTTAAGAAATAGTTCACCCAGATATATGTCTGATAATTCAGTCATTATTTACTCACACTCATGTCGCTCCAAGCCCATATGGCTTTCTTTATTTGTGGAAAACCGGGGTACATTTAGAAGAATCTGTGCAATTACTATGAATGGGGACTGGAGGTTTCAAGCTTTAAAAAGGATTGGCTGATTCAGTTCATACAAACGGTCTGAATTATTTGTTCACAAATTGGACTGATCCAATTTTCGAGTTCAACTCAATGATCCTGTCCAGATCCCTGGAATGGAATATTGTCAGTGAACAATGACAATAATGATCTGAGCTATCAAAGCTGGGGTTTCAAAGATATTGGACAACTTGTGTATGTGTAATAATTTTGAAGTGCTTTTGTGTCCTTTTCAAAGCTTGGAAGCTCCAGTCAGTTGTCAATAAGCAACCAGTATGTATTTTAGAATTTCTCCTTTTGTGTTTCATGAAAAAAATGAAAAAGGTCACATGGGTTTGGGATGGCATAATGACAAAATTTAGATTTTTAAGTAAACTGTACCTTTAACATTGTTGTCACTTGAACTTATTTGGACAAACAAAATACTACAGCCTCAAGGCAGCAGAGGTATTTAAGTTAAACTTAGAATTTGAACTGATATCTAAAGGTACCCGACACTGTACACAACTGTTCACAGTTTTTTAATAAATTAATTTATTCAGCAAGGATGCATTAAATTAATCAAAAGTGCCATTAATACATGTGCAGTGTTACAAAATTGTTGCTGTTGTTTTGAACTTTATATTCAAAGAATCCAGAAAAGTTTTCAAGGTTTCCACAAAAAAATATTAACACATCTGTTTTTAAATTTCTTGTTTCTTCAGCACCACATCAGCATATTAGAAAGATTTCTGAAAAATCATGTGACACTGAAGATTAGAGTAATGGCTGCTGAAAATTCAGCTTTGCCACCACAGGAATGCATTTTAAAATAAGAAAACAGTTATTTTAAATTGTAATAATCTTTCATAGTATTTTACTGTATTTTTGGTCAAATAAATACATACAGCCTAGGTGAACATATGAAACGAAAACATTAAAAGAATCCCAGCCCGACTCCAAACTTTTGAACAGAAGTGTATGTTTAATTCATCCGGGTCCTAATGCATATATACTAGATGCAGACAGACTGGAGTTGGGCACAGCCAGATCAGCGCTCACCACATCAGTGCTGAGACAGGGAGAATATTTACGAGTGTGTTCATTAGTCTCAGCAACTCAGACTGGGGTGCCGACATGAACCCAACCCACACCAGAGCAGAGTTGTTACAATCTGTTCTCTCAATCTCTCTCATCTTTTAGCTTATGTATTTACATCTTTCCCTATTTGCTGTAAAAATGCTTGTTTGTCTTTGCCTTCTAAATTCAGCTTTATTTCCCCTCCCCCCTCACTGCCTCATTTGTTCTTTTTGTATCCCATGCTCTCTTTTGCCGAAATGTTCTCTTTTGTTTTTTTGTACTGTAATTAGTGTGGTTGACGTCAGCAGTGCACTATGGCCTTTAAATTACACAGAAGCCTGGATGTATAGGATACTGTCCATTTATGGCAGGCTCAGTGCACTTAAACTGATTTATCTCATCCTGGTCTCAAGCTGGTCCTGAATCTATTGGCATTTTGCACATTATCCACATTTAAACATCTTCCTTTTAATCAAAAATGGTCACAATATGTGTCAGAAGGTTAATTAAATATAATTTTCCACCATCATGTTGTTCTAAACCAGTGTGAGTTTCTTTTTTGTTTTGTGGAACACAGAAGTCAGAATCAGCCTCAGTCATCATTTACTTTCACTGTATGGAAAAAAGATGCCGTGAAAATGAATGGTGACTGAGACTGTCAGTTTCCAATGTGTTCCACAGAAGTAAGTCATTTGGGTTCGGAAACGACTTGAGGGTAAGTAAATGATGACAGAATTTTCCTTTTTGGGTGAACTGTTCCTTTAAGAATCGCTGTGTGACCGTAGCTGATGGGGTGCAGACAGGGCAGTATCCGTCAGGGATTGTGGGAGCCAAAGCACTGTGGCTTTCATAGGAAGCACTGACTATTTGATGAGCACTGTTTTATGGGCTAGAGAGCCGTTCAGTCAGTCAGAAGAGTTCAGGGCTTTGTATATCATATTACATGTGGTAAATGTCTAACTTCCTGACAAAAATGTTTATCTGCTGCCAAAGGAAGCTTCACAACATACTTCTAAAGGAAATGCTTGACAGATATACCTCATAAAATGAGAATACATTCCAAAAGCAGGATCTAATGATGAAGGAAGGATCTAATATATATTGCTTTAAGTCAAAAGACCAACTAAAGAATCAATAGCATCCATTTTTACTCTCTGTTGATTTGCCCCAGGAAGTCCAAGAGGAAGCTAGTGAGGTGAATGATGATGAGCATATGTATAACAACATCTATCTATCTATCTATCTATCTATCTATCTGTCTGTCTGTCTGTCTGTCTATATATATACTGTATATACTGTATATACATTTAGGTGGATGGATACTTCATTTACTTTGTTTGATTTCATTTTTATTTCAAGCAACAACATCTACAACATCTATCTATCTATCTATCTATCTATCTGTCTGTCTGTCTGTCTGTCTATATATATACTGTATATACTGTATATACATTTAGGTGGATGGATACTTCATTTACTTTGTTTGATTTCATTTTTATTTCAAGCAGATTATAGTTATTAATATTCATTGCCCTTAGAAGTCCTTTAATTCTTTTGCTAAGGTTTTACTTTTATTTAGACATCAAGTTTAGATGTGTCAGATGAAAATTGCTTGGCCCATTTGCTGTGGGAAACAGGAAGAGAAGAGTGCTTGACAGAAATGGATATTGTCAGGAAGATCTATAAATCTCAACAGCATTTACAGTAATGGACCTCCGGCTCTGCAGTCAGCATAGGACTCCAGTCATGCTTGTGAGCCTCAGACTTAATACAACAATCAGCACTAATCAGAATGCATTTAGAGCATTTATTAAAGTTGTCACACTTCCTAAATGACAAAAAAAGCACCATAAAGTGGACCATACAACAATGCGCTATATTCCAAGTCTTTTAGAGACATTCAATAGCTTTGTGTAAGGAACAAACCAAAGAACTCATTTGCTCTAGCAAATCAAATCTTATTCACATTATTTTAATATTGAAATTGAGCACATTTCAAGATATGCAAATATGCATGAAATGACAAAAATGTCAATTTTTTGGGTGTACTATTCCTTTATACATTTTTAAGAATTAAAGTTCCAAAAGAGGGTTTTCATTGCGATGCAATAGAAGAACCATTTTGGGTTCCACAAAGATCGTTTCAGTGAACAGTTCTTCAAAGAACCATGTTAAAGGTTCTTCATAGAACCATAAGGGCCTTTCACACTGTGTAGTTCTAGGAACTAGCCAGCATGGTGGTTCCTAGAGAAACAATTGCCCCCTCAGGCTGTTTTCCTGGTTGCATTTGCACCAGCAGCAGGAACTGTGAAGCGGCCAGAAGTGATGTCTTTATTTGCGGCATTTACAAACGTCAACAACGGGTGAATGGAGGATGCTGTGATCTGAGCTGTTGTGTGTCGTGGGTTTCATGATAACGGAGGCGGAATGTAAATGCACAATTTACGCGATTGAAAGAGCATGAAAATCTGACTTAATCTATGACAACTTGCAGTGTTACATATCATTAAGGCTGAGAAAAGAACACAATGCTGCAGACAACAGGTAGCTTAATGTCGTTATCGCTAGAGTAAATATTTTTACATGGCTTTTTCGTATGTTGTTTCGTATGCGTTTGGCCAATCAGTATAGACTTACATCACTGATAGTTCCTATAGAACAACAAACAAACAAACAAAGTTCCTAGAACTAAATACATTCCTAGTTCTTGTGGTGCGGACATGCCAAAAAGCGGATACTTCTGCAAATAGTTCTAGGAACTATAAAAAGGTTCCTCAGGTGCAAAAGCCACTATAGATTCCAATGAAGAACCTTTATTTTAAAAAGTGTAGTGTGTACTTTTGTTTAACTAGTTATGATTGTTGAAAAATGTCTTGATGTCCATGTGTATTTCCTCTGCCCAGGCTTATCTACGAGCAGCAGACGTCAAGATCTTGAACCAGTTGCTAGCACTTCACGAGGGCATCGAGGCAGTGAAATGGCTCCTGGAAGAGCGTGGTGCGCTCACCAGCCGCTGCAGCAGCCTGACCAGCAGCCAGTACAGCTTAGGCGAGGGTCCCGACACCTCCTGGAGGGGCAGCTGGAGCAGTCTGCAGGACCCCCATGACAAACTGGACAACATTTCCATTGGCAGCTATCTGGACACATTAGCTGATGACCTGGATGACTACTGCCCCTCTAGTGGGACTGATTCAATACTCTGTGCCACCCCCATGGGGACAGATGGCTCCAGAGGTACTGGAGGAGGAGTGGGAAGTTCCACTGGATCTGGAACCCGATCTCCACAAGTCAAGTCCGATGCCCCTAAAGAAGAAGCTCAGGTTTGGAATAAAGCGCCGTCTGATACATCGAGACCGTACCAGCCCAGCAAGACAAATGGAATCCTGGACAAAGCAGTGAAGCAAATGGTCAGACCAGATTCGCCCAGGGCTTGTCTCGCTGAGAAGCTGGGGAAGAATCTGAGCCCTAAAATGAAACCCTACAAGAATGGCAAAGTTGAGTTGGAGAGCTGCAAAATGAATGGCAAAGTTCAACTGGAGTATGACGCACACTGGCGTTGGGTGCAGTCGCAGGATGATGTGACTTTTTTGTGATAATATATGCATGATCAAGCCAAAGGTGTTGATGGGAGACTGCTCTGCTTCTCTATTCACCACTGAGCTTTTGTTTGTACACTTGGATCTTTGATTAATTTGAGGCCAGCTTCTCAGATCTCCTGAAATGACAGCGGTTAAGAGGTCAGCAACGGAAAAGAATAAGGAATGGAAAGAAGCTTAGACCTGTGGGAGGTCAGAGTTTAAAAATCCTGAATTGATGACATTATATACTCTTTGTCAGGTTGTGTAGATGTTTATGGACGCATGTTTCAAATGTGCATTTCATATGAGATCATAACCTTTTATGTAATGGCATCTATTGATTCAACACAACTATTTATTAAGTCAGTAATTCAGGACTTTATTGAATATGTCAGTATATACATTTCATTTAAATGATGCGGTTTCAATCCTATGTGCTTAGGTTATTTTAAAACAGTTCTCAGAAAGATTCATAAAGGTTTTTTTGCATACTACCATTTAAAGGTTTGGGGTTCTTATGCTCACAAAGGCTGCATTTATTTGATCAAAATACATTAAAAGCAGTGATATTGTGAAATATTACAATTTATAGTAACTGTTTTCTATTTCAATATATTTTAAAAAGTATTTATGTGATGGCAATGCTGAAGTTTAATATTAATGCTTAACATTTTTGTGGGAACTGTAATAAGTTTTTTTTTTCAGGATTCTTTAAATAAAAGTCATCAAAATGAATATTAGAAAAAAAATGCAGCATTTATTTGAAATTGAAATCATTTGTAACATCTACTTAATTTCTTTCAAAAGAGTGCACAAATGCTCACATTTTACATTTCTTTAATATTTTAAAGTGGACCAGAGTTTATTTAGCTAAAACAATCTAAAAGCTTAAACACAGCAACTTATTTTGTTACAAAATCAGATTGAATAATTTTTTTTATGCTGTGTCTGACCATTTTGTTTGACCTTTCTACTGATTATAATATGGACAAAATAAAGTGCAGCATTTGCTCTTAAACTGTAGGGAATGTTTAAATCATGCTTAATTTTACTACCAAAGTCTTAAATCACCTCACAGTGTGTAAGAGTGCACAAATGCTCACATTTTACATTTCTTTAATATTTTAAAGTGGACCAGAGTTTATTTAGCTAAAACAATCTAAAAGCTTAAACACAGCAACTTATTTTGTTACAAAATCAGATTGAATAATTTTTTTTATGCTGTGTCTGACCATTTTGTTTGACCTTTCTACTGATTATAATATGGACAAAATAAAGTGCAGCATTTGCTCTTAAACTGTAGGAATGTTTAAATCATGCTTCATTTTACTACCAAAGTCTTAAATCACCTCACAGTGTGTTCCTCTGAGTTAACATCTAAAGGTCAAAGAATAAATCCATTCTAAATACCAAGCATGTTCCCATCTGTTACAATTTGACCCGAAGTCCAGAATCAGCAACACACTCGAGTTGCCTTTGACAATTAATTATACAACAAATATATAAATGTTTATTTGAAAACTGCTTGTGGTTTACTCTTTGTCTGTCAGAATGCTTATGTAATCAATCAGTAAAAATGCTGTATTGTCAATCTAATCAGGTAAACTGTGGGTTAGCTTTAAATAGGATCCTGTTTTGAAGTACCAATTATTACTGGTTCTATTAGATCACCGAATTAAATGAGCTTGAAAAACATGAACAGGAAATTAAGGATGTCATATAGCTTATTCCACTGCATACAAACGCATGGAGACCAGTGGTTGTGCTGTGATCTTTGCATTTGTGATGTCTTCTCTTGTTATTTAAAAATGTAGCACCTAAAGTGCACTTTTAATTTAAAGTTGTTCAGATGACTAACTTTTACCAATTAATCAAGTTCTATATGTGGTGTAACTGACTAGTCACAGTGTTAGTACTGGATATAATCTTGCATTGCCTATGTTTTGTATGCCAAAAGAACTGCATTGATGTAATTTTTTGTTTTGGTCTAATGGAAGAACTGAAAGTACTATCAGTATTCTGCGGTTTAACATATAGTGTGTTATGTAATAAAACACTGTACTGTATTTATGCATTCATCTATTTTTGTTCAGAAAAAGAGCACTGTATTATAACAGTAACTAAACTCAGACTTTCTCTTTCCTCAAACACCCACTCTTAGTTAATAATTCCTGTGCTTCTAGGACAGGGTTTCCATGACTACTGAATACGTGTGTAATTTGTGTGTGTGTGTGTGTGTCACTTGTTTAGAGTCTGGGAAATGGAGACAGGACAAATCCCAGAAGCCACTGTGTGAACAACTGGATTATGGCAGGAATAGGTGAAGATATTTGAGTGAGATGGTGAAGATGATCAAAGTGAAGGGAGCAGGTACTTAAAAAAATGACAAATGGATTGGTTGGAGAGAGATGAAATAAAAAATATAAATGGAAACGGTAGCAGTCCTGAATCACATGCTGGCATATGTGAGATCAGATGAGAGGCAAACAAGTATTATACAGTGGGGTCCAAAACTCAGACCACTAGTCAAAATGCTTTGCTTAAAATGTAGGATTTTCTAATATAGTACAGTTTGTACAAATTAATAGGATTTTGAATGAAAAGTGGGTAAAAGTACAAAATAATTTTCCAATATCTATTTATTTCCACATTTAAATTAGATTTTGGATAACCTGCATAGCTGCATAAGAAGAAGCAAGATGTATTGCATTCCTGGGCAGTTATATGTATTTATTCCATGGTCTGTCTGAATACTGGATTCTGATTGGCTGGCAGGTATGCAGTAAACCCGTTTAATGCACAGGTAGTTCCAAGTCAGTTTAATCACCGTTCTATATTAATGCGCTGCTTTAACTGATGCACACTACCAACACGCATCGCACACACACACACACACACACACACAGAGAGAGGTCAAAGATCGCTGATTGCGCTGCACGCACACACACACACAAACTTGTTGTCAACGCTTCCCCGTGATTTTCATTAATAAATAGCCTAGATACTAGATCGCTACATTATATTCCCCAGCAACCAGGTGGTAAAAGTTTTTGAAGTAATTGTTTGTACAGAGAGATGTGCAGACGCAGCACGCAGGTAGCCTACACACAACTGTCATCTCTCTCTCTCTCTCTCTCTCTCAAACGATCGATCGATAATTAATTGAAATACATGCTATAATTCATTCAAATAAATGTGGTCTTACCGCACTATTTAATCTCCGTGTATGATTTGAAGCGGGTAGAATGCTAGCGCTCAGGGGCGGACTTACCCATTAGGCAAAGGTAGGCGACCGCCTTGGGCACCCAAAAGCCAAGGGCCCCCTAAAATGCTTTTCATATAGGATATGCGCATTAAGCGCTGACACGCGAACGGTTGCTGTTTACGGTGTTTATTACCACGACAACCGTCCGAGTCAGGGACGCCTGCAGGTGTACGGCACTGTGAGTACCATGAGCGCTCAGACTGCCCTTAGATTTGCCCCGCAAACATTTCAGCAGTTATTATAGGCCTGTGTGTCCCATATTTCTGTCGACTGAACCCATGCCGTTAATTATGAATTTATCAGTATTTTGCATGCCAAAGTCAATTTCTGCATAGAAATATTACGCCAAATAGAAGCAGAAAATCGTGCTATACTACGCACTTTCATGAGATCGGGTTAGCCGATCTGAACAACAATTAATTTGTTGGCTATTTTACAAATGGGAATAGGCTACAACGAATTCATGACAATGTTTACATTCAAGCTACCCGTAAAATGTATAGTGAAAAGTAGGCTACTATAAAAGCGTCTGGAATGCAATAAAGTAGTTTTAAAGCTGTTTTTAAAGCATTTGCTGCATGGGTAAAAATATAAAGAATTCACATATCATACAAAATTGCGTTGCAGCAAATTATTGACATTTTCAGGTATTCAGAACAGAGCAACATAAAAATCAGAAAAAGCAGCTATACAATTATAGGACAAAGTTTTACACATATGCCATTATAATTTGTGTTTTATTTTTTAATTGTACGGAATTATAAAATAAAAGGCAAATTATAATCGGGCCTGTTTTGGGCTTTTCCTTATTTTTATATTTTAGATATCCATCAATTATGGTGATGAAAAAAATGACTCGCCATCTCCTCATCGGACGTGCCTTTAGAGAGAAATGCAGGGATAACATAATGAAAGAGTTTCTATTTTCGATTTGAATTATTTCGTTTTAAAGTAGTAATTTAAAGCTTTCTATATATTTTTGTATCATGTCTGTGAGGTAATTCGCTGAGTTTAGGTTCATCATTGTGAAGCGTTCCTGTTCAAGCCCCAGACAGCAGCGTTTGTTTATTTTATAAAAGCACAACGTTTTGTTGATAGTGGGAGTGCACACAAATAAAACTAGTCCCTTTACAGTTTGGAATGATGCATTATTCTTACCTTTATGAGCAAAAATGACTGCGTATTAAGTTGCTTCCACAGTTAGAAAAAAATGCAAGTGATCGCGCTGGCGCCTCCATGTGCTGTCTAGCGCGCTTCAGCTTCCAGTCTCCGCACAAACGACTAGATATGCGTCTAACAGCGCGCATTTATATAGGTTAAACACTTAAACTAACATTGTGATATGCTTGACCTGTTTTATATCTATAGATTTTATTTTAGGCAAGTCGTGATGATTTGAGAAGGCTAAATTGACCAAACATATAGGCTATGATCAATTCACTGTCTGCAGCTGGCCATTACTTAAAAAAACTTAGCCTACATTAACAAACAAAAAATGCTCCAAACGTTTTTCTAAATTTACTTTAGGCCTATTTGAGACCCGTGCAGGGCTCTAATCCACTTCATCCAACGCTGTTTTGTTCTCATCTGTGAGCATGCTCTTGATATATGTATTTGACCATTTTGTTGAGTTTAAAACGTGTGACACATTCGTTCTGCGCTCACTGATCATTTGCCACCCACCCCTACCCCACAACACAACTATGGGGCACCATTGTGCAGCAGCAAGCATCACAACAAAAAAGGAACCTCAAGGTTGATCTAGGAAAATGTGTGAAAATGTATAGGGCCCCATTCCTATATTTTGCCTGGGGCCCCCAATTCACTAAATCCGCCCCTGCTAGCGCTAACGTCATTTTTACCCATTCGGTCAAATATTGTGCTGCAAAGAGCAATACTAGTTTTAACTTGTCTATAACTTGGCAAATGACCATGGAATAAGCGGGATAAGCAACGGCTAGCCGTGCATTAAAGGATTTTAAATGCACTTCACGGAGGGATGGTTCTTTGCCTCCACGTCGTGCATTTAAAATCCTTTAATGCACGGCTAGCCGTTGATTATCCCTTACATATGTATATGGCATTTTGAATTAAAAGTGAGAAAAAATAATTCTCAAAATTAAAAATTCTGTTCATTTCCAGGTTTAAATTGTATAGATATTGGAATACTGTTTTTTATGTTACAGATACAAAGAGCCAAAACTGTTTCTATATTAACTTTACAATAATATATGTT